AGTTGAAAAACTATTTTATTATACGTAAGGTGCGCGAAATCGTACCACGAAGCATCGTTTCGCTTCTTGTCGCCCTTCTTGTTCGTAATACTAAAACTACTGTAAACTGTTCCGCGACGTTCATGTATCCCCTGACGAAACTCGCTTGGGATTCAACTAGGGCAATCGTGGACCATGTGCATATCTTCCTTCATTCCTCCTTTCCTATTATTGACTACCGTTACGAGTTACATTATTAGATTCGATTGACTGTCGAGTATTGTAATACAATATAAGAGACAAATGTCTACAGTTAATCTCAAATATTACGAAAAACGTGGCCGAGCTGCAGAACTACGTGCGTTTCGTGATTTTTTCCGTATGGATAGAGATCTATTTTCTTCTGCAAGACGACTTGCAACGCATACTTCGTATAGTCGAGGTACGAAATATAAGAATAAAATACGAGTATTTTTTTTAAACGAGTCCAGCAAAAATAGATTGAATTCGTTTACGAGATATTTTTAACTTAACTTAACTTCCCCCCGTGAAATCATTTCATCTTACATAGATATATACAATTAGCACGATAAACGATAAATGCGCATCGATGCATTCTGTTTTTAATATATGTACTTATACATGTAATGTATATTAAAAACAGAAAAAAATTGATTTACGTCTTTCAACTCGGTTACTTTATGCTTTCACATTCGCGTTCTAATTTCGTTGCTGCTTGCAGTTATTATTTTATTGCATTGGTGATGTTGCATTTTATTCCGTACTTCTCATATCTTATTTTTACATTTCAATACATCTCGACGTTATTCGTCCGTCGCGCGTTCCCGAGAGGAAGAGAAAATGAGTCGTAAGTAGGAGACTTCCGGAAAAACGCCGATCTCTTCTCCCGTTCATTTTATCACCTCGATTTTACGGTGGCGTCACGAAAAAGCGATCGAGGAGTCTATATGCATTACTCCCCTTAGTGTTAATACGTTTGAAAAAAACCTGACTAAAAGCTCTCTTTCTCTCTCACGTTTAATCGGGCGTTTAATCTTGTTAATCATAAGTGCACATCAAACCGCGTATTACATCAATTAATTAAATACAATCAATTCGTTCTGCTATATCTTACACAATCGTTCATAAAATTTCTTGTATTAAAATATCTATAAGTTATATTAAAAACGCTTTAGACAGCAGAGGGGGAGAAAGTAAGGTAAAATATACGATGAGAAAGAATAAGCATCACTTCCTCTTCACTTATACATGCGACCGCCTTAGGCAACTAAGATAAAAAGGATGTAATTCAAGCGCAACTTGTTGACTAGATCGTAAGTACTTTTTCTTTTCCCCTTAATTCCACCCTCCTGCTCCTCTCTCTTCTACTCCTTTTTTTTAGTCATATTCTTTGGTATGATGTTGTGGATTGCACCGTTCTATAAAATACACTCGCGTGCGATCCACTTTTTTCATTCTTCTTGCTCGAAGCTTTCACACAAAAATATCTTCCAAGCAATAGTTATTATTTTTCCCTCAATATATCCAATTATAATATGTCTATACATACAAAAGGCATTTTATTATATTTCTTTAAAAGATGAAGGACTTGTGTCTTCTCATAGCCGATATATCATATGACTAGATATAATGAATCGATTTGAATTAATAAATAAATTGAACAACATTTTCCGGTTAGATAGATTTCTTAAGTTCTACACGCATAAATAATACATACATATACATAATACATATATAACGTAATAAAAAATTGATTTGTAGGAAAGCTTTATTTGTAGGAACTTGGATAACAATGCAACGTGCGATAAGAAAAACATTCATTAGAAAATAATCTCGCAACTTCGTCACATTTTAAATACTATTATAAGAGAGAATTCAAGATAAAATAATTAATAAATATCTTAGAGATAATAAAATAAAATTAATATCTTAGAAATAATAAAATAAAATAAATATCTTAGAAACAATAAAATAAAATAAATATCTTAGAAATAATAAAATCTCTAGGAACGTTTGTAAACAGTACTTCTCGGTTAGAGGAATCGCGATACTTTTTGCCGATTCTGTTCTCGGCGCGATTTTCTGCAGGTTGGAAAAGAAGCATTGATAAATTTGGATGAAACGTTGCAATTGACCGCGATCTTGTTCGCGCTTTTAACAACCGAGGAAATGATGTGTTCCATAATTCAGGGGAGCAGTACGACCGACCCTTTTGCCACCGAATGGTCATTTCTGCATTCAACAGGTGGCCCAGTTTACGTGAAATGTTGATGAAAACTTTCCGCGAGCATCCGCGTGCGTTACGTTAAGAATTCCGACGAAAATCGCATAAGAGCACATTTAAATGCACAAGAGATCTTGCTCTGCGGTGCAAGAGTTACATTCGAAATAACCTTAAACTAATGTAAAGTATAAAGCGATAATTCAGCCATATAGTCTACATGTATCACAAATTTCTAATTCCGGTTATGCTTCGAGTGATTGTTCCTCTGATAAATGAAATTAATAGAAATATTTTTTTACAAACAGCCTCTCTTTCTCTCGGAAGAGGACAATGAGCGAATTTTTATCATCGAGCTAAGATGGATGAAAAAAGTGAGCTCTTATAAGCTACGTAAGAGAAAGATATTGCACTACTTCGTCTACGATCGACTTTATCGCTGCTCATTCTGAAAGCATCTCGATTCGTCGTTTTTACGAATTCACGAAATAAGATGCATCTGCCGATGTTATCGTATCGATCTTCAACGAAAAGACGCCCAAACATATTGAAATATTGATATCACTTTATGTCGAAGTATCTTCACGGTAGACTTACCTAAAATGACTAGCAAATCAAAATACGGATCTTCTCACCGGTGTGGAAAAGAAGTTTCTCTATGTATTAAAAAGATCTCAACGGGAGATCAAACGAGCACATTTTGGAGCACATATGCTCATACTGTTTACGGCTCTTTGGAGAAATCAAGCACGATTTTACTGAGAAATTGAAGAGTGTATTTCATATAAAATTTCATCGAAAAACTTGATTATTTCCCCGGCAACGATTGAAAAACTAATGGCCAGTTTCATCAAGTTTAACTTCAGTTTAATTCGATTTTTAAGTAAACCAGTCGCAGTTTTGATGTTGGAGAAAAATAAAGAATCGCTCAAATTAGCGTCTATAATTGAAGCAAACTGTGACGTTGACGAAACTATCCAACAGTGGATAAAAGTGGTACGGCAAGAAAAATAATTAAAAAAAGAATGCTAAGTACATCCTTAGATTATGTTCGGAGAACTCGCTATCAGCATTATTGCGTCATTTTATTCTTGTTTTATGTCTAATGAATGGTAAAAATAAAATGACATAATAGCGTTAATAGCGTACTTCTCGAACACAATAATAGAATTTCTAATAAAATTTTAAATTTTAAACATACACATCATGTGGATTTATTACTGAATCGATAATGCGATATACAGCATAAAAGTAACTAAGTATGACAATATAGCCGCGATATTTCTTTTAAAATTTTGTCGAAAAATAATTAAATTTCAAATCTTCCTTTCATCCTGTATTTACATAATTATTTTCACATACTGTAAAAAAAGTTTTGTATTTATGTTGAAATCGATCTTTCTTCAAATTTTTATGTAGGTAAATTTTTAATATATCTGAATGTTAATTTACTATCTTTTAAGGTACCACTTTTATTTAGCTTTTCAATTCTCGTTACTTATCGGATATTCGTCGGCAACGATATTCATCAGACATACGTGTGACAATTCGCGAACTCTCTTCTTCTCTTAGCGCCGAGGAGAGAAAAATCGGGAAAACGACTTTAAGAATAGCCTGAATATGTCCTCGGAACCAAAAGAAGCGGCACGATGAAATATTCAAAGAAACTTCTCTTCCTGCGAGAGAGGAAGAGACGAGCGTGAGATCTAGAGACGCCGATATGTCAATTACCTTCTCATTCTCGTTCCCGCGCAGCCGAGATTTTCACCCATCCGCCTATCCGCGACGTTTAAGCGGGCGAGTAAATCGAATCACTTTGCGCTTACCGAGAGATACCCGTTGAAATTGGATGTTACCGGTGATTCGATGTCTGATCGTCGTCTATGATGCACAAAAGAGCCGAGGCTCCTCTCGACAATGGTAGCAAGTCATTAATTCATTCTGTAATTTCGAATCTTATATATATTCTTTCTTCTCATTGAAGGTTATTATCTTTTTGAATTTTAACAATTTTCAGATTATTTTCAAATTTAGTGATTTTAAAAACCCCTTAGTTAAAGTAGTTTAAGTTTCATAATTATTTTTTAAAAATTCAGTCTGCTATATTAGATTCATTTTGAATTTTAAAATTATAAGGCCAGAATCGAATTCAGCGATCTCAAAAACCTTTCCAACACAAAAGGAAGTTTTTGCAATATCGTGTATTTATAGTAAATACTCAGTATGCGCAGTTCGACTTTCCACTAAATACCGTCATTGACTTTAACGTTTACCGTATCTGAATACACGATATTGCAAAAACTCCCTAATGTCTTCTGTAAGTTACTTCGTTAAGTGTAAGTTACCTTGTGTCCACGATGCTGGAAATCACGACAAAGAATTAATAAATTATATTTGAACAATTCGATCACATGACTAATGTGAATTCTTTCTTTGTGTAAGATTTAGGACCGATTTCTAGCATTGTAGACACAAGACTTTAGAAAGCCATCCTCAAAGGATTATGAAGAAAAGTCAAAACACTTTTAGTAAATTGACCGATAAAATAAGAATAAAATAAGAGAGATTTTAGACTCGAAATATCAATTTTGGATATTTAAGAGGAACTGATACTTAAATAGGTCAAATGAAATTTAATGTTAACGCCGAGAATGTTTGTGTAGTGTTGTAACACTTTCAAATAACAAATCGAAAATTCGAAAATCAATTTTCGGAATATCCGAAAATTGACATTAAACCCTTTGAAGTTTGCAAGCATGTTTTTTTTAGCTTCACAAGCATCGTAGCAGAGACAAAGGGAACGTGAGGACTTGCTACCGTAATCGAGTGCAACGATAAACCCGACCGACTTGAATTCCGTGCAAAATAATCGAAACTAATCGCATCCGCATGGCGATGAGAGGCCAGCAGCGGCTTCCCGTGCGTTCGTTTGTCTTCCGTCCTTTTTTTTCCTTCTTGGTCCATGACAAAAAGTACTGTCTACACAGCAAACTATTTTTGTTTTTTTCTACCAGTCTACGTGATGACGCCACTGCAATCTTCTGTTTACGTCGACTGTGCACGACCGGCTGCAAATTGCGGATTGATCGGTTAGCACGGCGCGCTTTATTCGGGCGCGTTGTTAGGTCTAAATGTGAGAATAGTCATGATCGATCGTGGGTGATATGTCAGCAGGTTTAAACACCCTTGCGCTATTGTGCAATATCAGACTGTGTCGCAAATGTGATTAAGCGAAGCAATCGTCCGATGTAAGTGAACCCAGAAAACGATAAATAGAAATCGATGTTGGTCAATTTTCGAAGAGAAAAGGGAACTCGAATCGCAGATCGTACCTACCTGATCGTTGCCGCTGACCGCGGCGCCACTACATCGGCACTACATCCTCGTCCTGGCTGCTTATGGCGGCGTGTCGGGGTCGTCGCTCTCGCGCTGGCACGCCGACTCCAGGTGTTTGTTCAAATACGACTTAAGGGCAAAGGACTTGTGGCACTTGGAACATTCGTAATTCTTATCCGCCGAATGCGTCTGCATATGCGCTCGCAGATTCGAGCGATCGGCGAACGCCTTACCGCAGTGAGCGCATCCGTACGGTTTCTCGCCGGTGTGGCTGCGCAAGTGACCCTGCAGTAGCCAAGGTCGCGAGAACATCTTGCCGCATACGCCGCAACTGTGTGTCAGCTTATGCGTGAGCACGTGCATCGCCAGAGCGGGCATACTGACGTACGCCTTGCCACAATGGATACACTTTTTGGCCGAATGAGAATCAATGCTGCGATGCGTCTGCTTATGCCGGGACAGATTCGACGAGGTCGCATACTGTTTACCTGGAAAGGAAAATACGCGAGTATTTTCAGAGAGTTAACAGAGAATTAATATATAGAGATAAGGTAATATTAGAGTTAAATGAATTAACGCTACTTACCGCATTCGCAACACACGTAACGACCGGTCTTGGAGGTCTCAGGTGCCTCGATCGGTTCGGCGTCCTGATTCTTCTGTGCGGCGGATGCTTTCTTATTCTTCGATCTGCCGTCCGAAACAAGCAACGTGTCATATGTATAAGTGGCCGGTTTCAGTCCATCCGTGGGCTCCGTGTTAGTCTGCACCTCCTTGTCCTTCTGCGTCGGCTGTGAGTTCGGATTACTATTCTCAATGTCGCTGCTGCATTCAGAGGTTGGCGGTGTTAATGGCGGCGTCGTTTCAATTTGTTGCTGTAGCAATGACTGTTGCTGCTGTTGCTGTTGTTGCTGCTGTAGTAATGACTGTTGCTGCTGTTGCTGCTGTAGCAATGACTGTTGCTGCTGTTCCTGCTGCGGCTCCTGCTGTTCCTGCTGCTGCTG